GGGGGCGAGTGGGGGAGTGGGGGCGTGTGCCTCTTTGCCCAGAGGGCAGTTAAGAGTCAACCACATTGCTGTGGGTCTAGAATCACATGTAGACCAGACCAGGTAAGGATTGGAGTTTTCTTCCCTAAGGTACGTTAGTGAATCAGATGAATTTCTCCGACAATGGATTCCCGATCATCAGACTCTTAATTCTAGATTTTTATTGAATTCAAATTCCACATCTGTCACAGCAGGATTCAAACCCAGGCCCCCAGAACATTATCTGGGTTTCTGGATTAAAAGTCAAGTGATAATATCACTGGGCCATCACTTCTGATCAAAGACTTCAAGATATTAACAGGAAAAGATAGGGGAGATAAAGATAAACTATTTCCACAGGTTGGGGATTCTAGAACTAGGCTACATAGGGTATACAGAGAATTAGGCACAGACCATTCAGAAGAGATGTTAGGAAGCACTTCTACACAGAAAGGATGGTAGATGTTTGGAAATCTCTTCCACTATGGCACTGGATGCAGGATCTAACTTAAAATCTAAGACACTTTTTTGCTAAGCAAAGGGTTTAATGGATATGGCCCAAAGGAAGGTACATGGATTACAAATCTGCCATGATCTCACTGAATGGTGGAGCAGACTCAAGGGGCTGAATGGCCTACTCGTGTTCCTACATTCCCAACAGAACCAGTGTAGGCTCGATGGGCGGAATGGCCTTCTTCTGCACCGTAACAATTCTACATTGTTCTCCATACCCAAGAAAAGTTATACTTGCCATAGGTTCACTCAGCTAATACTGGGGATGGCAGGAGAGATTGGATCAATTGAGTCTGTACTCACTAGCGTTCAGTGAAATCTGATTAAAACAAAATTCTAACAGGGCTGGATAGATTGGATGCAGGGAGGATGTTTTCCCAGGTTGGTAAGTCTAGAACTGGGCACACAGACTCAGGATACAGGATTGATCCTTTAGGACTGAGTTGAGGAAAAGCTTCTTCACTTAAAAGGATAGTGAACGTGTGGAACCTGCTTTGCAACCACAGGAGGCCGTGTCACTGAATATATTTAAGAAAGAGAGATAAATTTTTAGACTTTAAAGGCAATGGGAGAAAGTGGGAGTAAGGCATGGAGCTAAAGATCAGCCATGATCCTATCGAATGGCAAGCCACTTGAAAGGCTGAATGGCCTACTCCTGATTTGTATGTTTCAATGTGAAGATCCTGGAGAAGATGCAGAGGAAAGTTACCGGCTCAATTACAAGAATGAGGGATTTCAGCGACAAGACTAGGCTGGAAAGGCTGGAATTATTCTTATTGGCAGATCTGATGGAGCTGTTACAAGATTGTGAAAGGTTTAGATAAGGTGAACAAAAAACCTTTTCCCATGAATTGATGGCATAAGGACTAGGGATCATAGAGTTTTTGTTTGAGCAAGAGATACAGCAGGTATTGGAGGAAGAACTGGAGTCCTTGAACTTGCTGCCTACGGTGGTGGTGGTGCAAGTGGTGACAATAATTCAAAAGAAAGTTGGATGGAACAAACTGAATAAATGAGCAGGACTCTGCCAGAATGAGACTGACTGCATTGTTGAACAGAGCGCTGGGCTGGACTGGCTGGGTCAAATGGCCTTCTTCTGTGCTAGAATGCCCCTCTGTCTGTAACATTGATTAGATTGAGAAATGAAGATGGTTAGAGATAAAGGATAGAGAAATCAATCACAAATGCACGGGCGATGGAAACAGATAAAATGGGTAAAACACAAGTATCTGTACACGTGGTACAACTGCAGAAATAGAGAGTTACAGACGTAAAATAACGAGGCTTTAGAGTGATACAGGGATGACAGCATTATGGAAATGAGGAGCAGGAGTTGTTGTACTGTCAGGTTGGTAAGAAGAGCTGCGTTTAGTGCATGGGGCTCAAGATATGGTGTAGGTGACAGGAATTTGACTGGTTTGCCACTGGGTGCATTGTGGAATGAGAATGACAAATTCAAACTCTTGCATAAGTAAAACCACAGCATTAATGTAAATTTGTAGTTATTCACACCCCGCCCCCCGTTTCATATTTCATTGCCAGATGTTCTTTGTTTCATGTCAAAGAAAATGCTCTTTTTATTTGTGATCTCAGGGTGCAGCTGGCATTCACCGGATGTAATCTGTATCCCCAACAGAGTTGGGAGTATATCCTTACGATGAAGTAGTTACGGGCAGGGTGCACTCTGCCAGCTCTGGATTAATTCTCACTTTACAGGATTGCCACTTGCACAACTCCACCTTCCTTAGCCCAGTTTTTGTGATTTTACCTCTCTAGAAGAGATATGTCTGGAATGGGCTAGGAATCACAGATGATACAATAATGGAGGAGGATACATTAATATTACAACAGACTACAGATGTGCTGGCCAGACGTTCTGAGCAGTGGGAAATGGAATTCAATCTGGATAACTGAGATGGTGCACTTGAACAGAACAAACAGGCAAGGAAATACATGATGAACAGTAGGATCTTCGGTGTGCATGTAGACAAGTCCCTTAAGTTATTTGGACAGGTTGATAAAAAGTGAAGAGGGCATTTGGGATACTTACCTTTATCAACTGAAGCATAGGGTTTAAGAGCAGGGAGGTTATGCAGGAACTGTAATAACAGTTGGTTATGCCAAAGCTAGAGTACTGTGTGCAGTTCCCAGAAGGCGGGTGGGAATCTGGAACTCGGTTTCTAAAGGTGATAAAGGCAGAAAGCCTCAAATAGTGAAGTAGTATTTAAGAAGTACACTTGCAATGCCAAGCATAAGGGGCTATGGGCGAAGTGCTGGAAAAAGGGATTAGAATAGTTAGGTGAGACAACAAGGTGCAGGGCTGGATGAACACAGCAGGCCAAGCAGCATCATAGGAGCAATAGTTAGGTGGTTGGTTTTGAATGGCGAGGAGACGATGGGCTGAAGAGCCTTTTTCTGTGCTGTGCCATGACTCTATAGCAGGGCAACATTATATGTAACAGGTGCACATGGGAGTGGAGTAGGCAACTGCCTCATTGTCCAGCCTCTAGTGGAGATTATAGCACTGTAGGTCAGACCTGCCTTCAGGTTGCCTTTTGGATCCACTGCAATCTGTATGGAAAAGATACTCATGGGATTTCTAGGATTTTAACCCACTGACATGACGAATGGTTTTTAACAGAAGTGTGGTGAAGAAGCTGTAATCTGCGTGACATAAAGATACTGTTTATCAACATGGCAGATCCAAAACTCAGTGATTGAATAAAAGGCACTTCTAACCTGGATGTACTTGCTGATGGGTGATGCAGGTCGAACCTTCAGGTGATCTGGGGTATGCAGTCGACATTTATTTCTCAATTTCTCCTGTTCAGCCTCAATCTGAAAGGAAAGTAAAAAAAGTGCTCATTATAGTGAGGGACTTCAAATTTTAATTTAGATTTTAAAAAAGTTAGCGTCTTCAGAGTTAGGTCATGTATGCGAGGCAAGTTTTGCCAGTTTTCCTCCCCATCCTTCTTGCTCCTTGGCTATCCTGATCTAATGGGGCATTTGCCAAGTCTGAACTAGGATAGCGTGTTGATAGACTATTCACTCAGAGGGGTGGGGTGGGGCAGCACAGCACAATGCCACAATAATGACCACCCTCTTACATGTTTCCATGCAGGAGACCTATGGATGGTCAGAGGGGAAATGCAGATCAGTTTCCTGTTCCCGTGGAAACAGGGAGACCAACCGCAACATCCTTGCAAATCCCTGTCTCTGACAGAGCTGAACATCCTATGAATTCAGAAGTCACACAACACCAGGTTATAGTCTAACAGGCTTATTTGAAATCACAAGCTTTAAGGAGCAGTGCTCCAAAAGCTTGTGATTTTAAATAAGCCGGTTAGACTATAACCTGGTGTGGTGTGACTTCTGAATTTGTCCTCTCCAGCCCAATACCAGCACCTCCACATCCTATGAATGTCACTTCTAGGTGGAACGAAGAGCAGAAAGAAAGTTGATGCCATTTCCAAGTGACAGAAAGCAGCTGTCTAAAGATGCACCTGTAGGGAGTAAAACAAAGTTGCCTACACAACAGAGAAAGAGAGTTTACTTTCAAGCAGCCCCCTCTCTCTACCATTCCCCCTGCAGCCTTCCAATCTCCTCCCTTAACCTTCCCTCACTCGCATACGGAAAGGCGGCAAGCTCCCGGTGCATGCCTCATACCTGCTCCCAGTGCAACAGACATTGTGACTGCCCCACCCTCCCTGTGTTGGCTGCCCTCTGCTAGAGCAGGCCATCACCACCTACTCCTTCCAGGGCCTTGCGACCCATTTCCACTCACATACCCACCTCTCCCAGCCCGTGAGCCTAGGCATCCACCCACCTCTTCCCTTTCTGCTTTTAACCCTGCTCCTGCTGGGGTTCCAGCCTTTTCACTTCTGAAGCCTCCTCAGCAGCATTTCTGCTGATGATTATTGGAGCAAGCATTTTTTGCACTGTCAGAGTCATAGAGACCTTAAAAAAAGCCCTTCAGCCCATTGCATCTGCACCGTCAAAAACAACTGCCTAACTATTCTAATCCAATTTTCCTGCACCTGGCCCATTGCCTTGAAAACTTTGGAATCACAAATACACATTAAATATTTCTTCAAACATATGAGAATTTCTGCCTGCATCACCCTTACAGGCCGAGTTCCACATTCCCACCACCCTCTGGATTAAAAAGGTTTTCCTCATATCTCCTCACCCTTACCTTAAATCAATGCTCCCAGTTATTGATCCCTCCAACAAAAGTGAAAATTCCACAAACAAACAGCAAGGACCCCAACAAAAACAGAAGTTGCTGGAAAAGCTCAGCAGGTCTGGCAGCATGTGAAGAGAAAATCATAGTTAATGTTTTGGGTCCGGTGACCCTTCCTCAGAACCGGACCCAAAACATTGTGAAAAGAAAACCAGAGTTAATGTTTTGTGTCCAGTTCTGAGGAAGGGTCACCGGACCCAAAACATTAACTATGATTTTCCCTTCACAGATGCTGCCAGACCTGCTGAGCTTTTCCAGCAACTTCTTTTTTGTTCCTGATTTACAGCATCTGCAGTTCTTTTGGTTTTTAATAAGGACCCCAATACTGATCCCCTGTGGAACTGGACACAGGCTTCCAGTCAAAACGCTCATTGACCATCATCCTACTTCCTGCCATACAGCTAACTGTGGATCCAATTGGTTCTTACTTTCAAAATCAGCAGCCCATACAGGACCTTTTTGAAAGCCTTGCTGAAGGCGGCTATGTCAAATGCATTGCCCTCGTCTACACACCTGGTCACCTCTTCAAAAAATTCAACCAATTTGGTGAGATGTGATCTTAACAAAACCATGCTGCCTGTTTTTGAATAATCCCTGTCTCTCCAAATGCAAATTCTGTCCCTCAGAATTGCTTCCAATAACTTCCCCACCACTGACTATCATCTCTTGGTTTATCCCTTCCTCCCTTTGTGAAAAATGGTACCAAGCTGGCTTTCTTCCAGTGCTGTCGCCTGACAGGAATTGAAAGTTATTGCCAAATATTTCCTCCCTTGCCTTGTTCAACAATCTCAGACACACTTCATTCAGCCCTGACTTTTTATCCACTTCTAAGCCTGCCAGACTGCTCAGAACATCCTCTCTCTCTCTCTATGCTAAATTTCTTAATTATAACAATCCTTCTCCGATTTCTATAGCCATATTGTCCCTCTCACTGGTGAGCACCGACACACAGTATTCATTTAAAACTCTAGCTACATCCTCTGGCTCCACGTACAAATTGTCACTGAGGTCCTTAATGGGCCCTACACTTTCCTGTAATGTACTTGTAAAATAGCTTAGGATTTTACCTGCCATTATCCTTTTGCTTTTCTAGTTTTTTCAAATTCCTTCTTGCATATTCTGTACTTCAAGGGCTTCTGCCATTTTAAGCCTTTGGTATCTGCCATAAGCCTCCTTTTTTCTCTTTAATCAATCCTGCATATCACTTGGTATCCAGAGTTCACAGGATTTGTTGGACCCACCCTCTTTCTTTATTTGAAGATGTTGTTCTATACTCTTCTTATTTCGTTCTTGAATGTATCCCACTGCCCTGACACAAATTTACCTAAAAGTAAAACAAAGAACTACGGATGGTGGTAATCTGAAACAAAGTGCTGAAGAAACTCAGCAGGTCTGATAGCATCTGTAGAGAAAAGAAAAGTTAATATTTTGACCCCAATGATCAGTGATCCATTCTGGTGAATGCCGAGGTTCTCCAGCACTTTCCATTTTGGTGTACCTAAAAAGTGTTACTCCTCGACCACTCTGGCCAAATCATATCTGATCTTATTAAGATTAGCTTTCCTCCAGTTTAGAACATGGATTTCAGGCCCATGATCACTGCCCAACACTGATACTTCAACCACTTGTCTGGTTTCATTACCGACAGCTAAGTCCAGGACTGCCCTTCTCTTGCGAGGCCTTTTCACAGACTAGCTTAAAAAGCTGTCCAGGATGCATTTTGAGAATGCCACTCTCTAAACCTTTCACACTATGATTAAGATAACAAGGTGTAGAGCTGGATGAACACAGCAGGCCAAGCAGCATCATAGGAGCAGGAAGGCTGACGTTTCGGGCCTAGACCCTTCATCAGAAATGGGGGAGGGGAAGGGGGTTCTGAAATAAATAGAGAGGGGGGGAGGCGGATAGAAGATGGATAGAGGAGAAGATAGGTGGAGAGGAAACAGACAGGTCAAAGAGGCGGGGATGGAGCAGTAAAGGTGAGTGTAGGTGGGGAGGTAGTGAGGAGATAGATCAGTCCAGGGAGGACGGACAGGTCACGGGGGCAGGATGAGGTTAGTAGGTAGGAGATGGGGGTGCGGCTTGAGGTGGGAGGAGGGGATAGCTGGGAGGAAGAACAGGTTAGGAAGGCGGGGACGAGCTGGGCGGGTTTTGGGATGCGGTAGGGGGAGGGGAGATTTTGAAGCTTGTGAAATCCACATTGATACCATTGGGCTGCAGGGTTCCCAAGCAGAATATGAGTTGCTGTTCCTGCAACCTTCAGGTGGCATCGTTGCAGCATTGCAGGAGGCCCAGGATGGACATGTCATCTGAGGAATGGGAGGGGGAGCTGAAATGGTTCGTGACTGGGAGGTGCAGTTGTTTATTGCGAACCGAGCGTAGGTTTTCTGCAAAGCGGTCCCCGAGCCTCCGCTTGGTTTCCCCGATGTAGAGGAGGCCACAACGGGTACAGCGGATGCAGTATACCACGTTAGCAGATGTGCAGGTGAACATCTGCTTGATGTGGAAAGTCTTCTTGGGGCCTGGGATGGGGGTGAGGGAGGAGGTGGGGGACAAGTGTAGCACTTCCTGCGGTTGCAGGGAAAAGTGCCGGGTGTGGTGGGGCTGGAGGGGAGTGCGGAGCGGACAGGGGAGTCACGGAGAGAGCGGTCCCTCCGGAAAGCAGATAAGGGTGGGAGGGAAAAATGTCTTTGGTGGTGGGGTCGGATTGCAGACGGCGGAAGTGTCGGAGGATGATGCGTTGGATCCGGACGTTGGTGGGGTGGTAAATGAGGACGAGGGGGATTCTTTTTTGATTGTTATTGCAGGGACGGGGTGTGAGGGATGAATTGCGGGAGACACGGTGGAAGGCGTTCTCGACCACTGAGTTGGGGGCAGTGGGGGTGGAGTTGCGGTCCTTAACAAACAGGGACATTGGAGATGGACGGGAGTGGAATGCCTCATCCTGGGAACAGATGCGGCGGAGGCTAAGGAATTGGGAATCGGGGATGGCATTTTTGCAGGAAGGTGGGTGGGACGAGGTGTATTCTAGGTAGCTGTGGGCTTGAAATGGTGGTTTCTAGGTGGTTGCCCGAGATGGAGACAAAGAGGTCCAGGAAGGTGAGAAAGGTATTAGAGATGGTCCAGGTGAACTTGAGGTTGGGGTGGAAGGTGTTGGTGAAGTGGATGAACTGTTCGAGCTCCTTGTGGGAGCACGAGGCAGCGCCAATACAGTCATCAATGTAACGGAGGAAGAGGTGGGGTTTAGGGCCAGTGTAGGTACGGAAGAGGGATTGTTCCATGTAACCTACAAAGAGGCAGGCATAGCTTGGGCCCATGCGGGTACCCATGGCCACCCCCTTTGTCTGTAGGAAGTGGGAGGAATTGAAAGAGAAGTTGTTGAGGGTGAGGACGAGTTCGGCTAAGCGAATGAGGGTGTCAGTGGAGGGGGTCTGGTCGGGCCTGCGGGACAAGAAGAGGCGGAGGGCCTTTCGGCCATCTGTATGGGGAATGCAGGTGTATAGGGACTGGACGTCCACGGTAAAGATGAGGTGTTGGGGACCGGGGAATTGGAAGTTCTGGAGGAGGTGGAGGGCGTGGGTGGTGTCACGGACGT